ATATTGACTTTGAAATGAGCCAAGGGCTGTGATTATGTAAGAATTTTTTCCATTATATGATATGTAAGAGCATGACTAGGAATATCCGAAAACAATTGTTCGCTCACCGGCTCGTTTTCTCAATGCTATCATGGGAATATTCAAGCTTTTAAAATATTATATACTACTAATGAGTAGTTAGTATGTTTATGTCAAATTCCTATTCTTCGTCACGGGTAACTTCAGCTCTTGTGTGTCTTCTACAGCCATATTTGTTCTTCTTTATGACAGTCTCATCTATTTTGACGATTCTTGATGGACGACCTAGTTTTTGGTTTAAGAAAAACACTTTGTCGACAAAACGTATGCCACTTTATTACTGATCTCTCTACTACACGTGCCATTTGGGCACATGTTTTGTGCAATGATTGCAGGGATCCCCTGCTAAAAATGCACAAATATTCCCACTTAAATGAATAGAGACACTTCAGACGCTTTGAAATGGTTTCTCGAACTTGATTATCCAGTTTTCTTTCGACGGTAACAATGAAAGGTAATAGACTCGTCGATTTTCCGGGTGGACTATTACATGTTCACGTGCACCGTCCCGAATTTAGGGAACTATCTTCATATTCTGTAGATATTTTGCGCGCACATTTCTTCCAAGTTTATCAGTGACCGATTGGCTATGGGTGATACATATCGATCGCACAAATAAGACAAATTTACTCAACCAGTGATAATGTACATGTTCCACTTATTGGTATATATATATGTTGCATTTGATATTTCAAAACTGTATAGAGCAAAATGATCAACTTTAGACTCATAATAAAATACATTTAGAAACCAAGGTGCTTGGCATTCGGGTCTAGCGTGACTTGTATGTTCCATTCATCAGATAATGTTGGGATCAGATCATTTATTTGTTTGTGGCTACGGTGCCATTTTTTATTAGTATGCGGTTCTATTGTGAAAAGACTTGTTTTTTTAACCTTCTCGATAAATATGCACAGCTCTCCTTATTTGTGTTGACCCACTCTTTGAAGGACATGTGTTCCGCTAGGAAGATGAGTTATACAACAAGACTCTTTTCACAAAAGCTCTCGGGACATAAATTAATGTGATTTGGAGTTGGAATCCCCTGGAGAATGACTTGTGTGCTACTTCACCGAAACTGATCATAAACAGACCACGGAGTGTTTGAGGTCGGTTACAGTATGACCGATAGCAAACAAAATATATATTATAACACCACTAGACATGAACAGAAGTAATCACAATCCGAATCTCAAACCCATCATTATAACGACATCTACTCGCACAAAACGTGATTGCTTCGCCGCACGTACTTTGGCATCAAACCAAGGAAAAAAGTGACCATTGGCTATGTGATGATAACGTGACATAGCCGGGGACATGACGTATATAATCGAAACTTGCTAACAGAAGAAACCTTTTCCGCATTCCACACCGTGTAAGAGGATGATTTTTTATCCATATTTATTTATTTTTCAATAAATTTTGAACAGTTCCGATGAATTTAAATCCACTATGTTACCCTGGTAATCTTATATGTGGTCGCCTACGAAAGATTTGACAAGATAACACTTGATCAAGAGCACTGTCTGCACCAAGATAGCGTGAAAGCCCTGTCAAATTCCTGAACTCGCTGAAAATATCAACTCCTTCCTGCGCGTACTTCCACACATCGAAACAGTGTAATTCCATATCTAGCTCGATTCAGAGTTAGTCATCAGAAGATTCTCACCCACCTCAGGGAAAAAATCTTGCACTAATTTTTCTCTCATCTAAAGTGTAGAATTTCTTATATTGTCCTTTTTCATTTGCAATTAGTTTTATCTATCCACTGTAAAATCGTAAACTGCTGAAAATTCCCCCTTTGGGTGCATGAAGATTTTCTGGACTTAACTTGAATTGACTTGTGGTTTTTAGTTATGAAGTAAACCTTTGGATGAAGATGAAGTTTATAAAGTAAACCGGCGGTGGTTACATAGGGGTTGCATAGTTGTAATCACTTAGCTCATGGACTGACAATATGAAGATGAAGTTGGTCGGTGTAGTACTACTACCCCTTTGCCTAGCTTTGGTTATGTCGAATTGTTTCGATTTTTATCGGTAAATAAGAATAAATAGTATATGTATATATTTAACACCGGTATTGTATGATATTGTATTGTATGGTATGGTATTGTTTCGTAAATTGTGTAATTGATTGATTATTCTTTTTTTCTGTCAGCAATTCATCTTTTCGTTGACAAATACTTCTCACTTTGGAGACAATACTTGCCCGTGTACTTTCAGTCTATATCTCAATCCTAAATTCGTAACCATCATAATACGGTTATTACTTTGTGATCATCTATTTACGAATGCACTTCAGATCCTGTGAATCGACTCAGGTTTACCATTTTTCGATTTCTAAGTTTTAGCTACTTACAAGTAGTATAGATGAATGTGTTCAAGTCAAGTTGGATAAGCTTCCTCGCACGAATAAAACATCGCCTTGTGATGGGAAACAATTGGGTATATTCAATCGAACTCTTGGTTGAATGGATATTTTGAGAGGCATCTAATGTCATCTAATGTACTGTACTGTTCTTATTGATGAATACAGGACTGTGCTATGAAAAGAATTTTCTCTCAATATTTCGCATGAGGATTTTACAAATATCCCGTAAAATAAACCAAGTAGTGAATGCATGAATTTAGTTCATCGTAGGTGAATGTGCTATTTGTCTGAGCAAATAACCATCCGCGGTTTTCATGTCCAGTGATTTAGTTTGTGATCTAATTCCTCATTCGTGTCTTTCAGGAACTCGTTCGCTTACGTCGACAGTTAGCAGGCGCAGCTGAGTCTCTTCTACTTGATCCGAACCAAGGAATTCGTGTTCCCTCGCAATCGGATGTAAGTACATTGTCACAGAAGATCGATGATAACTTCTATCTACCGTGGTCCTTTCATTGACGGAAACGTTGATTGCACGTGTTTGCGTGATTATTGATTGCTAGACCGCTATGGTACACACGCGCACTTACGTCACACCAGCTTAATCCATTCGTGGATAATATGGTGAACAAACTTGCTTTCGTAACTTCATCATTGGATATTTACAATTATTTGTAATCTAAATATATAAGATAACATGATTCATTCATTAGGCTAAATAGGCAAGAATAACACTGTCTATCAAACTCTAGAGCAGCACACGGAGAGGGGAGAGGGACCAAGGTCACTTCCGGAAATTTCCGATGACTTTTTTCACGCGCTACTTGTCATGTTGCCATGTTGCGTCAGCACGATTTGATTGATGTCATATCTCGGTTCGTCGCGTAGGCCTATCCAATTTATGCTTGGTAAAATGGTTTGATTGGAAATGGTGACAATGTCGCCGTCATAATGGCAGTATAGTGGGAGGTAATGAATGATGTTCCGTAGTTCGTTGTTTTTCAGTTTGGCTACGAACATATCTGCCATAAACGGGTGAAGCGGAGAAACCCATGATCACTCCGTCCACCCATCTGTCTAAAGATCCTGTCACTAATAGAAAATTCTACATCAAATGTGCATCACAATAATAGTTTCTTTAATTTTGTGGTTGGACTTTCTATTTTTACGCTTTACCAATCTGTCTACTGACAAGACATGACACATTTGTAAAAAGTGATTTTAAATGCGACGAGCTCTTTAACATTCGCGTCTGACGTTAGATCGAAAAAATTCAAAGGATCTTACATTCAATGTTTTCCGATTTTCTTCCTGATAGGCTCCAGGTTTCTGAATCGCCAATGATTTGAAATGGAGAATTGCGCATATCTAACACTGATCGCAATGGCTTTCCTGCTCTATGATCTTTTGAAAGGCCATAAAGTCTAGGAATATTGATTCCACTTGGTCCGGTTTTCGACCAATCAAACTTTACTATTGAGCTGACCACGATGCCCGATTCTTTACCTGCTCAACCATACCCCGATTGAGTATATTACATGCATCTTCTGTTTTCCAATAATTTTAGTGACTTGTGTGCCTAAGGATGTGCTCATATATTTATCGATAGGATTATTGATAAACAAAAGAAGGAATTTATTTATCTAGTATATGTCTGTTTCTACTGGATAAAAAATTCTGTTCAAGCCAAATTTGTCTCTTAAAACAGCCTTACACCGGCCGGCGATGAAAACACACGCACCGTAATCTAATGGAATATTGACGATCAAAAACCATTCTATTTATTCTTAATAAACGGTACAAGATCAATCAAATACTTGACAACGTGATAAGGTATCTCTCAGCTCCATTATACAGGTGTGTGTAGAGGGTATACTATTTTGTAAAGATGATTTATACTGCTCAAAAGATCTCTAACACTCGATCACAAAAACACAAAATCTAACGAATCAACATTGTTGTCTAATCCAGTGAAAAGACGATTCAAATGATCAGCAAAAATCTGGCCAACCGTATAACTTTTGAAATTTAGAATCTAACTACTGACAACTGTTAGAAAAATATTTGAAAAATCTCGGCCTTAAATTTGCTAAAACTGAGAATCCCAGTTACCGAGTATCCTTTATCCTCTTAGGTTGATGATTTTATGGAAGATATATATACCCCCCAGAGTTAGTACTGGGATCTACGCAACATTTTAATGCCCAGTATCTGTTATGTGCTCATTTCCTCAAACTTTTGAGGTTCATTCAGTCGGACTCTAATTGAGTTACAGTAAAAACAGATGGACCAACACACTTTGAGGACGTTGTCTCTCACCAATTCATCTTGGGACATGCTCACCCATAGATCATACGTCGGTCGTCTACTCCTATCACCTTCTGGACATTTCTCTTCAGCCGTCTCTGTTTGCAAACAGTATCTCTGTGTCCTGGTTTGATAGTTCCTGAAAACCAGAGATCATATGAACATAGAGCTTGTACTTCGGCATGAAGACTCCTTACAGACATCCTTCACTTTTTTGCCAAATTATCCTGCGCCACTTTCGGATCGCTGTATATCTATCACATGTGAACATTGTTTGGAGCCGGCGATTGCTGCTGTTTACTCACATGTACATTAATGAAATCCCAGCGTAGCAGACGGTGACCCGACTCACTAACCGACCACGAGAAATCTCTTACACTGAGTCCCAGCGAGCACCGTTGATCTGTCTACCTGATGCATGCAAACACGTATATGGCGATATTATCTAAAGATATGGACCCAGGGTTAGATGCCTGCTTCCGTCTTCGTGAGCCAATCCGGCCCAAGAGCTCGTATTTTTAAGAAAAATTTCCCCTCGATCGGATTACCGTTGATGCACAGATTGTCGCGTAAGGTAATCAACTTAGATAATTCTCCTCCAACTGATGGGGTAGTTGAGGTTTAATGACAAACCCTTCAGGAAAGTTCTTAGCAGTTTTATTTTGTGAGATAATGTACTGAGTTCGCGATGACGAGAGACATTTCGCCTTTTCTGTTCAACGACAAACGAACAGTGACAGTGGAACTTTTCACCAAAAGATGCGGTTTGCCAATTGTATCGGTGGAACGTCACAATGAATTGTGGTCACCAGATCAAACAGTGCACACGCTGTTGAGGAGCATTTTCTCTGCAAACTTAACCTCGATTAATGATTGCTTCATGCTGAGCAATATCAAGTTCAGCTTTATCCTGAAAGTATAGTTTACATGTGTTGTCATCGCATTCCTAACTCTCCTTTATCAATCTCATTCACCTGATAGAGTTCATCCAATCCGTCCGGTACACGAAAAGTTCGATTCACCGAGGCTGATTCAAGTGAACAAGTTACGAACTCTATCCCCGGGCCAAATCAGTCGGTGGAAAGCAGTGTGGATCTGGAAGCAGCAAACAAACAGATTGATCTGCTCAAACAGGACAAACAGTACTTGATGAATCAGGTCATTGTTATTATTATTATTATTATTATTATATTTCGCACACATCTGTATCCGCAACAACTCACGCTACAGAAGTCTTTATAGCATAGAAATGGATCTATGGTTTGTTTGTGAGTGGAATACGACCAGGTTGCTCAGGCCAAAGAAGTTGAATTTTCGTTAGGGGAAATCACAGCCAAATCCTCTAACTAGCCAAAGCCTAAACCCGCAAGGGCGGTCTGTGAAAACCGTAGCTTATTAGGTTTTGATGTACAGTTCATTAGGTCACAGGACGGAGTCAAACGTCCTAGGTTCCCAGTACACATCAATGTCCAATCGAACTAGTGAACACTGATGCAACCAAGGTGTGTTTGCGGTTCATACAAACCTTCTTAGTTGGTTTGAAACCACAGTTCTTAGCCAACTGCTTTAGGTGAACTGCTAGTGATTCACGGACTCGGTTATGACCCCGGATGTTGGCCTTTCGCCCTCTCCATTTGGTGGGAAGATGTAATATTTATAACACGCATTGAACACGAAATACGAATCGCGAAGTAGAAATCACGGTCGCCACGTAAGCACTGGATCATGCTGGTACCAGCACGACAGTATCCCATGTAACCCAGACGCGAGGAAAATGCCATAGGAATAACAGTTCATTTATTGAGGGAAATCAAGGAGTTAAATAATATATGAAAAACAAATTCATTGATCGTTCAAGCCTCTGTCAATCGCGTGCTAGTATTTCTGGTGTAGTTCAGCCTCTGTCTGGGTCTCACGGTTTGTGATTTGTTAGTACAATCGATCTGTGATTTATAGTTTAGAAGCCGTGACATCTACGCGTTTTGCTGAAAATTGTAACGTGTCGCTCTTTGGTATGCGTCATCTCGTGGGCCAGGGTCATCACAACTCTCCTCTCTTAAAACAGCTTCTTCCAACTGACTTCCGCTTGGGAATGAGTTTCGTGATGCCAGCGGAGAAATGTTTTCGGTAGGCATTTCAGGGGCACCGGATTGCTGGTTTCGGATTTCAGCATTTGGAGATGCTAGATCAGCGAATTCTTCGTTCGAACTGGCAGACTCCTCCGAATGCATTTGATCGATTTGGTGTCAATAATCTGCTGAATCTTTCGTCGAAGCATAATATTGCATTGATGATCACAATGTTCGGGGTTTGGGCGGTTTAATCGATTTTTCTTTGGTGTTGAGATACATGGCATTCTTGTACTGTAGTAGACTATTTTTCAACAGTTTTCCGGACTCTGACATCATCCTCTGGTTTGCCGATGAAATAGCACTTTTGACCGTTCTCACCAAATTCTATGCTGCATCGTGAAATCAAACGCAACGTGGCACTGTGCGTGATTGTCCATGACTAATAACTCTCAATATGGAGGGTTGTGTGCATGTACTTCCAACGTTAGTAGGACTATTCGTGATCAGTTTCCGCCGCTGGGTGTAAACAGGAATGCAATGACACAGGTTACTTCAACTTACGTATGGCGTTCAGACCCGGATGGATTGTATATTTTCAGTGACCAGAAATCGAATTGGAATGAAGTGATTAGTCGCTGATCGAACCAATAATGACACATTCCGCACCAACGGGAGTTTGTGAACTGTAATACCAATAATTTTCACAGTCGTTTGACGGACTTGGGCCTCAGGTGGATCGCAGAAATTCAGTAGAAATTATACATTCCGTACTCCCTGTGTCCATAGTGAATTTGTGTTTGGTATCCGACTGTAATACCGCATTTTTGTATAGGAATTGAACACATTGACTTTCGGTTCGTAGAGAAAGCACAGGGCTTGTTTCTTGTTCGTCTGTTAGTTGTGCGAGATTGCAGAAGGGTTGTGTACAAACACTACGAGCGTGGCCAATTTTCTGGCACGCATGACACTTGGAATTGTGGAAGCGATAAGAGAAGCACAAGTGGTAAGCTCTACATGACAGACACGGTTTGATATGTTTGACTTTGCCAGAAGGGTCGTGTTGTGGCTTCGATATGTGCTTGGCCACTGGAGGTCAGATTGGACTCCTTTTCTGCGGTTGAAATACGATGACTGCTGCCCTGGCGAGATATGCCGCAGAAAAACACCACCGCCACGGGAAGGCACTGAGTAGTGATCTCTCCACAGAGGCTATTCGAAACACCCGATCGAATAAGGCATTTCGTGAGTTACAATGCAAGGTTGACCACAAGCCAAGACACCCACCGCTCAACTAACTAAGGTATTCGTAGGCAGTGTTAATTGTGAAGATTATGGTGCACATAGATACTTAGTTAATTGAATTGTGCGAAAAACTTGAATTCTACTTCACTAGAACTTTTGTGTTGTAATGGATATGATCATGAATATCTGACGATAAGTTTTTTTCAATCCTGTTTATCCAGAAACTTTTCATTTCAAATTTTTCAAACAAGATCACTTGGCCCACTTATTATTGGATTAGCTTAGTTGATCACAGATACGAGGGAGCAGTTGTATTATTTGCGACTCAGGTCCGAGTCTCGGCAGCATAACGAACATATAGCACGTACAAACACACAATGAAGTGGTCTCGTCATAGATGACAGTCATCTGACTATATAGTGCTCGTTTTGGGACAATACATACCGGTTTAACGGAAACAAGACGGTATCACTCAATTCTGTTCTTCTATTCCATTTTGATTTTCAGACATCCAGTTTGACGGAGCGTCTTTCCAATGCGGAAAGAGAGTTGGCATTGGAAAAACAGAAAACCACCACTCTGGATGCCGAACTGCGTGATTTGAAAACAAGCACCGATCAAAGTCAATCTCTCGCCGCGCAACAACTGGAAGCGTGTTTACGCAAACAATTGGACAATTTCAGTGATTTGACCGGGCAAGAATTGGCACGGATTCGGGTGTGTTTGTGTGTGATCGTCATTTTCCTACCGGGGTTTTCGGTGAATGCACGTATGACCAGTTGTGAATAACAATTGATTTTTTTTAGTTATTCCGTATAGACTAGTCCCGTGCCCCTTGCAGATCTCGATTCTAGCGGAATCTCAATTGTCCATGAATTGTGTTCATCGTGTGGAACAGATGCAGACGTATTTTAGATCCCAGGATATGCTTATTATGACATGAAAACACGTTTAGAGCATTGTTTCATGTTCCTACCCGTACAGTGGTGGGGGTTCAATGGGTTAGTCCCCGTAACCGGAGTACTTTGAACCCTACGGTCCGAGGTTCGAGCCCCAACACTGCCATTCAACTTTGTTGGAAGGCAGCTTTGCTGTCGTTCGGTTCAATATCATTGCCTTAACTATCATAGCCTTATGTGGTTCACCACCCCAAGTCCCGGGGTTTGGGACACTGGTTACCATCACTAAACTGCAGGTCTTCATGATTATAGGATCCAGCCCATCTGCTATTCTTTAAATAAAAATATGTAATAAAAAATATATTTGTAATAGATCGCATTGGAGAGTGACATGTTGAAAAAATGGTAGACAATCAGTTGTTCAAAAGTGACATTGATTGGGAGGGAGAGAGGGATTTGAGGTGAGTGTTGTGACCTGTTTCATATCACCAAGTCACCACAACACTACAATGAGGCTGTGATGCGTCTGACGTGCGATTGATCTTCGGTCATGATAGTTCATTGGCATGAGCCAATGTTTTTAGTGCATTCGTTGACGTTATCTTGCACAGGACAATGTGAGATATTCTTGAACAAAGGTTATACAGAAACGAAACATATACTGGCCGGTACACGAATTTTCACAGTTTCGTGCCGCTTGGAAGAAAAAGAAACTCACGTACATGCAAGAGATTGGCCCGTACCCCTTTTTCACTTTGTTCTGTACCCCCAATCCACCTGTCCCCTTTCATTGTTACTATTATTATTGTTGTTGTGTTAGCACCATGCTTGTCTGAAAGCATANAGCATATATATATATATATATATATATATATATACATATGGCGCATGACAACCTGATTGCAGTGTTGCAGTGATTTACTGGTATGAAACCCGTCACCTCAAATTCCTGTCCTAACCACTGTGATATTAAAGCGACTGAATGTTTATCCCCTTCCAATGTGTCACTTCCTAATCTGTACAGAGTAGAAGATGAATAAATGAAGACAATTGTTCACCACTGAAAGTGTGTGTGTTTACAAGTGCTTCAGCTCGTGGTTGCATCACGATGTGGAACGCTTTAGTTACATTCGAAAAACGTGGTAGCATACTGGATGTTCCACAAGCTGCCTCACCACGCTGCCGTATCAAGCGCGGCTAAAATATGGGATAACAAGAATGTGAACATTTCGACAGTCTGGTCGCAATATTCCTTGTCGTTTCCCATTGCACCTTTGACAGTAGGATAATGGAACCATACCCTAATCAGTTTTCCCATGATTATGCATATGGTAGAGAACTTTAGTGTCTTACTGTTGATCTGTTAGTCCCGGTTCGGTCAGTAAACCGATGCAGGATTGAACTGAGCTTCATTTGCTCGAACAGATGATAAATCCACCATAGATTAGAAACTTATCGTGTAGGCTGTATTTGATATCGATCAGTGTGCCGGTTAGTTCATCCAGATGGATATGGTACAGTGTACAAAGAGTAGAACGTTTATGAGACCATCACGTGTAGTTCCAGAATCGCTTTACTGAATCGCAGCTGATTCTCTTACTGCACCGAAAAGGTTTCACTAATATGCCAGAGATAGAGAGTAGAACAGTAAGAGTTTGACCCATTTCGCTTGGATAGAGTCAGGTTCATATGAAGGCCTTTTTCAGGGCGTGGGCAAGTTTGTCATCAGTTTATCCCTATCACTCTTTTAGTAGGATAGATGATTCGGAAGGACTTGTTGCGAGCGTCTGATGGTGTATTACTCACTTAGGGCTATGGCATGCGCGTGTGCGTTCCGTATGCGGCTGTGATTGCATCGCGCTTATCTCGCGTTAGATCACTAGGCCGAGTAACTATCTATCCGTTTATTCGATGTAGGAGGGCTCTTCATCCCGTACATGTGTGACCAGGGTTCTGGGCAGTCCAGGGACCAAATAAGACTGATCACTAATAGCTCTGTGTGTTCCAACTCAGACTGAAATAACCTGTTTGGGAGCGAAATTGTGAAAATGGTGTTGGCCAATGCACTTTGATCTCTGATACGCTGTTCTGGGAATTGTATCATCCGATCTGAGGTAAACGCAAATGTTTAGTAGCGGTACTTGGTTATTGAATTCATTCTCTACTGTGAATCCTATGTCACTGCCTTGTCCGTTCAGATGAGCTCAAATCCGTTCCGTCTAAATGCCAAAAATAAATGATTGGTTATTTTGATTGATGAGGTCAGTCTCTCAAAGCATTGGTCCCATGACTATTTTGGTAGATAGATCAATCATGCATCGCCTGTATATCATTTTGTAATCAAATCTCTCAGGCATTTCATGATGAAATCCAGATCAAGGAATTTGACCTTCTCCGGGAACAGCGAGACAAAGCAGTGGACGAATGTGACACTCTTCGAACGGAATTGGCCTCGATGCGTGATCTGTTACAGTCAACTAAAGCTGAGTTGAACGCGTTACGCAACACCAACGGATTCCCATGGGGCGGATCACATCCGGAATCGAATCGTGTGGAGGATTTGACTCTGCATACACAACTGACCAAAATGACTATTGAGTTGGAAGCTGCCCGAGCGGCGAGGAACGATGCGTTGCTACAGTCAGAGAAGCTGGCGGCCCAATTGGATGCTAGTAAACAGGCATTCTATGAGGTATACAATGCATATTGACTCTCAGTTTACAGTTATACCGTAAAGGTCATCCATCTGGAGACCTCATTTGAAGTTTTAAAGGCTGTATAACCGGCTGATAAGAATCATCCACACAATTTTATTCATTTTGTTCATGACATAACAAGTGGAGACTGATGAAGATCATGATGGATTGACCTACATGTATTGCCCATCAACAGATCACAAACAGTTGCACTTCTCATGCTCCTACTTCCCGAAAAGCATCGATTACTTGTGCATGTTGTTATGGGTGTATCGTTCGAGCTGGAAGTGTTGTTCACCGAAGCTGAGTACCCAGGCTTGGCAATATCATTAATGCGACTTCGGGGAAGCGCGAGTCCTCAGTGTAGGCGCGCTAATATAGTTCTGTCTGAGGGTTTTGATTGGCAGTTTGCATCCGTTCAATCCCATTGGTCAATTTTGACCATTCACAGTGATTTGATTAAATACTTCGTTCGTATTCTCATTGGTCGATTGACTTTTTTGGACCAACCGCAAACCGGTTTCAACTGATTCTCGGCCCGTTTAACTGGGGTGGTTTTTATTAGCCAGTGTTTCCTTAGGTAATAACCAATGAATTCTAGTTCTACATGCTTGTTTACATTGTCTCTCCTGGAGTGTCATGCTTCGATGAATTCCTGTATGGACTTTGTGGTTCCTCTTCCAATTATTCTTGCGTTGTCCAGTTTGAAGATGTGGTTTTTCAGCATCTTTGTGGATTGAGATTTGCGACTTCTCCTCGTGACAAAGATGGCAAAGGTGCCATTGGCATTAGCAATGATTGTGCATTTTTGGAGGTTGTAAATAAAAGAGATACATACGGACAATTTGAAGCATGGACCACATTGACTAAATGACCACTTGTAAGAAATGTCTATCCGTAGTCGCACACCGAAACGTAGTGTTTCATTCACCTGAAAGTCAATAAATGACAATAGCCAATCCTGTTGGCAGTACATTCCTCTCCAAAATGTGTGACGTTGGAACTATACCACGCACACACACGAATGGGACTGGTGGTTGGGTGCATTTTGCACTATGATTGGTGGTGAAGTCACTGTCACCGGTGTGCTTTGGGTCTTAGGGTCCTGGGTTCGACCCCCCCCGTCTTGAACGCCACTCAACATTGGTGGTAGGTAGTTGTTCCACTATCGTTTGGATTAATCCCATGTCTAACATAGCGGGGCTGTTTGCGCTTCNTCGCCACTCATGTCCCAGGGCTTAGGCTACCGGTTTCCATCACTGAAAAGCAGGTCATTGCAACAATGGCGTTTACCTGATCTACTGTTTATCACACAAAAGGTGTGTATTGAGAGACTACCCCAGATGGTTCACGTATATCAGAAGTCAAAGAACCAGAACGATATAAAATCGGTGATGCGGATAAAGCTTTATTAGGTGAAGCGAAGCTAGAAGATAATTCTAATGTTTGATCCTCATGTAAATATGTCAGTTAGATCTTGAATGTTCATTATGCGTTCAGACTTTGGCGCCTTCAAGTGACTCCTCCGTAATTGACCAGTTTTACGAACGCACACTTGTTATCCGAACTATAGAAGCAATTTTTTTCCTGGTTGAAGCACACACGCACATAGACTTCGAGCCCTGTTTGTCCATTGTTCACTCTTCTATTTTTCCTCGATCATTGGGCGATTTTTTACGATGCTCTTCACTCATTACAGGCGTTTTCTGAACTTGAATCATGATTCGATTGATTTTCTCTGGATGAAGTGTTCACAGCACGGTTCCTTGTGCGTAGTGGTTCGAACTAAACGATTTGGATTCGGATCAACCATCCTTAAGAACTTGTCTTCACATACAATCATCAATTCATCTAACAGCGATCGGGAAGTTCTTGCAAAGCTCATTCATCTACCGGTCCATCAAGGATTCGAGTTTCGGGTCAGTTCCTTGCGTCAACCAGAATTACTACTTCGTTCTTGTTCAGATTTCGCCTTCAGATACAGTCAGCCAGTTTCGTTTCAGGCCCGGAAGGCAGCCACATTATTCGCTCTGTCCACTTCAATCGAATGCCTCTCACCGAATTAGATTTATGTCAAGACTGAATTCCAACCGCGACGCTAATTCACACAGTAGTTGGAGGAGCCCGTAACGCAACCTGAGAAATCAGAACACACAAGAGAGCGTGCTGATCGGAATCGGGTTAGGGATCTAATGAATGATCGTGAAAATGCATCAATGGATAAAATGATGGCCTACAGTTAGATCAAGCTGGTTCACGGACAAAACAGCCTGTAACTGGATTGGTCAGTGCTTGTCACAAACAACTCTAACACAGGATTGGACGATCAATGGGAACTGATAGATGAATGTGTACTTAGCAGTCCACCTTGCGGGTTCGGGTAAATGTGTTCCATTGCGCTTCACATTTCATTCAGCTGTGCATATGATTCCGAATCGGGAACATGAACTCTCCGCATGCGAACAGACGGTGTTTGCTGTTTGAACACAATCTGGACACCGATTCTTCCCCGTATGAATGACCCCGCTGAAATGGATGACAGTCATTCTTGGTTGCGTTTGTCTCCCCNTCCCCCCCCCCCCCCTCGGTAGACAGTTCCTCCCTTTAATCTTAAAAGGATTGTTTTTTGCATTGTAGTAAGTAAATCTGACACAAAATCATCGGTAACGACGATCCAGTGTGTGCTGAAGTTCGATGAGTTCGGGAACGATAAGTGAATCGTATGCTATAGCAGATACCTTGTCGTACTGAGGTGAAATAGGGTCTTGTAAACCAGTTCTGGTAACCCAACTTGATGATAGTTTAGCAGACTAACAGCACCATGTGTTTGTCCCATTTGAAAATCATTTTGGTTTCAGTGGTTTCTAATAATCCCAATGAATTTGTCATACATTGTCTTCAAGGTTTTCCAATACTGCGTTAAACACTGACCGTACATCAAGCATGGCCATAACACAAAACACCATCCCCCCAACTAATTAAAACTCCTGATTCAAAAATAATACAAGTTCTATGGAATCCTAAATGCATCATTCAAGATTCCATTCAACTTGTGTTTCTCTTGTTTCCATGTCTATTCGGTACAACTTTGTAGACGTGTGCAATGCTTGAAATGTTATTCGCTCCTCCAACCATTCCCACTTGTTATTTGTTTCTTCATCTACAGATTCATCAATCAATTTTGGTCTCATGGTGGAAGCAACACATCCGTTTCCCCTATGAGGAAAACCATACGGCCTTAAATTATGATCTTACTCCACTGAATCGTGCTAGAAAATGTGTGAAAAATAGAATAAATCCACACTATATGACTGTTTTTCGCACAGCAATGAACATTCTCAGTTTCAGTTTCAGTTTGAACAACCATTAACCATGCACTTTCGTGCGCCGGTTTTGGTTGCTGTCTTTTGGCTGCCCATTGGGATGAAGAATAGGAGAAGAAAGGAAAGTTGAAAGTGGAGTCAAAAAGAAAATGGAGAAGTTCAGTAGTCTAAGGTTGCAAAGAGATTAAGAAGATGCACGAACGCCACTGTTTACGACACCCAGCCGTATCACTCAGCGTCTCTAACCATCGGGTACGATTATCCCGAGGTCCCCAGCCAGGGAGCCTAACAGGACCTATGTGACCCAGTCTCCTGGTTAGGAGGTCCCCAGCCAGGGAGCCTAACGGGGCCTATGTGACCTAGTCTCCTGGTTAGGGTTTCATACCCTCGTGGCAGGTCTTAGCTTGATCACCCTTGGCTTTTTTCCACTCGGTGTCTGTTTCGGCGAACATCGCTCGCCGTGTTAACCTATCTGGTGACATGCGTAATACATGTCCCAACCAACGTAATCTATGGAGGTCGACCACTTGCTCCAGTGGGTGACCGTCTTTACCTAAAACTCTGCCCCTAACCTGAGCATTGCTCATCCGGCTACCCCACCAGATTCGTGCAATGCTGCGTAGACAGCGGTGTTCGAACACCGACAGTCTATCTTTATCTTGTTTTCTTAATGGCCAAGTTTCTGTACCGTATAGCAGAACTAGCCGAACTGTCGCGGTATACACTCGAACCTTCACAGACAGCCTCTTGAGATGACTTATTTTCCGAGGTACCTCCACTTCAGATGGAGGACTAGCATCAACTGGGAGTATTTGAACATTTTAGTCAGGTAGGAAGTATGTGTTGAGGCGTTATCTCGTCTTGGGTGTTTGGGAACCGCTCGTTGAAGATTTTGACGTAACTTTCAACTGTTTGATTTCCTTCTCGAATTACCAGCTAAAATGTTCCATCGGTAAGAGTGGTTCTTTTGACTGCGGTCTCCGGTCTCTAGCCCGAGGCTGGACGGTTGAATGCAACTTTGCTGTTGCACACAGATCATATCAGTGATAGGCGAATCTATCAGGGTCGTCGAGATCACACTTTGTGTTACACCGTTCCATTCAAGATTACTCAATCTTCAATACGATATACACGATAAATCCACGGTGTGCCGGTGATGGTTTGAGGTATCGACGTTGTTGTCACTGGTGTACGATGCAAATCTGTTCACACTGTATAATTTGGGTGTTAGGCAGTCTCGTCATCGTCCGGCTTTGTGCCACGCTTAAATGAGACTTTAACTGGTTGACTAATCTACTTCTCCCAATCGTGGATCATAAGTTTTTATCTACGAAAATCTACTCTTCAATACTTAGGGATTCACTCATTCTGCTAATCGTAATACTACGAGTGGGTTATCAGACAACGTGGCGCCCCAAGTGAGTGTGTATGTGTGGGAAAACTAAACTTTTATTACACTGTCCGGGTCCATAAATTTCTCTCCTTTTTCGTATCATCTCAGTTTGTGTTTGGAGCGTGGAAATAGATCAAGCACATCGATAAGTGACGTGTTCTATTGACTGCTTTGGGGGATGAAACATATCTCAGTGAACTGTTACTATCCCAGTATATACTTTGCTGTGTGTTTGTACACAGCTCCGAACCCGATCGCGCCTAGATTATGCCGATCTGGAGTCCAAACTGACCATGGTACAGGAGAAACTTCGAGGCTATGAACAAATGGAACAAGGAATTGACGAGGTGATTGAACACGTCCCCACATCTGACCATTCTCAAGACCACAGCCACACGGTTCTGAGTCAACTGGGACATTTCTGTGTGGAAAGTTGTCGTGGTCCGTCGTCCGGGTCCGTATTCTTGCCCACACTAGCAGCGCGCCGATTGGAACACGCGGTAAAATTGGCCAAGCAGGTGACACAACTCAAAGCGGAATGTGCCAGACTGGTTGCCGAACGGGATGCCTCAAATCAGGAGGCTAAGGTATGTTTAGTCTACACACAACCCTCACCCGCATGCTTTGCTAATGACTAATTTGTGTCCGTAATCACTCCACGAGATTGAACGATTTGAACTGAATATTCACGGAAAACGCGACGTGAGGCAATGAGTGATCCACGTTTGTTTAAATCACACAAAATTCCCCATCGATAATGTTCTCAATTTGAATCGGGATGCTCAAGAAGAACATGACAAATATATTTAGCCACAGCTATCGCACTAAGAAGTTATCGACCAGCATCTGACTGGTGCGTACATACTTTTTATGCTGCTAACTCTTTATATATATATATATATATATATATATATATATATATACGTGAACTTCATTTGCACAGCAATATACTAACCCAACCGATGGATAGAAACACCAACCTGTAAGTACGATCAAATCAAACTGCGAGCACGGCAGTGTGTTGTGGGAAGGAGATTCAAAAATGTGATAAAACATATAAGTACACGGTGAATAAGTGAGGAATCACGTTGGATAGCAAACTGCTCGATTTGCAAGTCGACGTTGGGAACCTTTGTTTTCTTTCTCTACCCCCTCCCCGGATACCCTCAAAAATTAAACAACGAACTTCGATTTTTTCCCTCTGTTTTCGCCTTTCTCTCTCTCTCTTTCTGCATGCGTGTCCCAAGTGCACAGGCACTCAAACACACACACACACACACTGCTTTGAACAGTCCGCCTCATTCAGCAGAATCGACAATCATTCGCGCGCGCGCAAAACAGTCAGAGAGAAAGACATAGTTTTAGGTTGTACAACCATTAACCGTGCACTGTGGTGCGCCAGTTTTGGTCGTTCTGTTTTCAATGTTCAATATTCTTCAATTAGAGGGAGAGGGTAATTTCCCGTATGAGCCTCATCACCACAGACTCGAAGATCTCATTCATGATAGATCTGCATACCCGCATTGTTCGCAGGAGGCTGTCGAGCTTCCTCTTCAACATCTTATCATTGACCTCTTCCACCACGTCAGCTGGAAGGGAGTTCCAAAGATTGGTTCTTCCGCGATAGCGAACCGAAGAGGGATCCTACGAACGAAAGCTTCAACAGCGTAAGTCCATGTCCACGAGTCCCGGTCTGCTCGCGCAGAGGGAAATACTCCATCAACTCTGGACCCATGTCACCGCGAAGAATGCGTCGCATACAGATGATATCACCCCGTACTCGGCGATAGGACTCCGGAAACAATCCAGTCGCATGCANATAGTTTTAGGTTGTACAACCATTAACCGTGCACTGTGGTGCGCCAGTTTTGGTCGTTCTGTTTTCGCTGCCCATTTCGAGGTTGTGATAGAAAAAAGATTGGATAGTTGAAAGCAGTGTGGAAAAAAGTGAAAAACTCCCGATACAGTAAAGTTGCAAACAAATTGCTCAAAGGCACGGGGCCAATGTTTAAGACACTCAATTATTTCACTCAGTTTCTCTAACCGTAGATCACAACAATCTCGGGAGCCTAAAAAAGCAATCTATGTGACTCAGACTCCCTGGTCATGGTTCTCATACCCTCATATCGGGTCTGATTTTGACCTTCTTTGGCTTTGTTCCATCCACTCCTTGCCTCGGCGAATATCGCGCATGTCAAGGAAACCAGTTTGGTGACAAGCGTAACACATGCCCCAACCAACGCAGCTACTATGTTCGCAGGAGGGCAGAGCTTTTTCCAGAATCAAATCTACATTGAAGTTAAGTAGAAAAGTAGAAAGTGGGCTACCCCGACAAACACCGCCTTCTACGTTGGTCTCAGGTGAGAAAGTGCCGTAAGCTCAAACTCAGCTTCGGCTGTCAGTATAAAGGGATCGTAATGTTGAAACAAACGTTATGACAAAATCAAACGTGCCGTTCATTCAGTTTCATCAACACACACACACACACACACACCTTTTTGCACTGCCCTGAACCTGAATGTTCCGTTCTGTTCTACTGAAAGACCTCGATCAATGGGACAGTATGCGGAAGAACCAGATAGGACCTCTCGTATTACCCAGGCTATGCGATGCAAAGCGGGGGAAATTCGAGTCCAATAAAAGCTGTAAAATGTAGCACTCCAGAAAGTAGCAGTTTGTAAAAAGATCCCTCCAGTAATGAAACGGCATATGTAAGGCTGAAATCGAAAATTTCTATCCCCACATGGTTGTACATCATGAAATATCTTCAGGCTAGCGAAAAAAACACCCGATGTTACACACTGAAATCTGTCCCTGAGAAGTCGGGCGTGATTCGCTGTCAGATTGGTCAACTCAAAAGGTTCAATGGTTACGCAACAGCCGAATAGCCTAATACCGATTGTTGATCCCCATCACGACGAGACTGCACCTTGACGTGGTGTGATGGCTTACTTGCCTCAAGGACCTTGCGAGCTAAACAGGATGGCTTCTCACA